GGCCGGTAACATTCTACTGTTAATGTAATATGTCCTGGTAGAGTGACTTCAGATGTGAGTACTGCCCTTATGTCAGAAGATATGTCAGACTCCCTGGAACTGGAGTTACAGACAGTTATGAGCTCCATGTGTGTACTGGAATAGAAGCCCCATCCTTTGGGACAGCAGCCAGTGCTCTTAACCACTGAGTCATCTCTGCAGCCCCTGGGTTTTGTATTTTATTTGCTTGTGTGTTTGGTTGTTTAAATTCTATTTCCTAGTAAATACCATTTGAAAGGAAAAGTTTGCAGTTTCAGTTTCTAAATTATGATATGAGCATTATGGATCCTTCTTCCCTGGGGGTTAATTCCATGCTAGGGGCTTAAGAGAAGTTGATGACTCCATGGGGGAAAAATTCGGGTTCTTTCTTATTCATGTGCACGTAAGTCATTTCATCTCCGGGTCTCTGCTAAGGGCAGTTGTAATATTTACTTCTAAGTAGCGTGTGAAATGGATTTAATCACTTTCTCCAGTCCCATTTGAGAAGAAGCAAATGAAAGCCCTGCCAACATTTTATCTCATTCATAGTTCTGGAATGGGGCCCAAATTGTAAATGCTAAGAACATATACATGCAAGGCATATACGTGCAGCCGTGTTAGGGACACTGATCTAAGGGGGTAGATGATGGGTCATGGAGCAGCAATTTTCAGGATTCATTTTAGAAAGGAGACTACACAGAGACATGCTTGCTGTTGTGCCGTTGTATTGCTTATAATTTAACAGTGGAGGTGTTTATAGTCATTATTTCATCTTTACACTGGTTTTGAGAACAGCACAAGGACAATGGAGCTAAGCCTAAAAAATGTCACAGATTAAAAACGTACTTTCATGGCCTTCCAATCTCTTGCTTTTGAAATATAGAGCACATGCCCTTGCATTCGGGGGAACACGTACTTCTCTTACAGAAAAGGGGGGGGGAGTGCTAACCATTTACTCTTTCCTACCATGCCAGTGCTATTTAGGACATCAGAGCTTCGATGCGTGGAGACCTAAAAGACAGTGCATGTTTTCTAAAAGTTTTAAACCCTACTCCTTGAGCGAAGTTTAAGTAAAACATGGCCCAAGAGACTGACTTGGAGTCGTTTTTGTCATAGATCACAATTATCCGTGTGTATTTGAAGAGCAGTGCATATGTAACCCCTTTTCAACTTTCAAATGCATCTTATACTTTCACATTCTGTGTGTTGCAGACTAAACCTGATCTCAAAGCCACAGAATTGGAATAGCAACTATTTTTTTTTTAACTTGAGCGTTTTCTATGGAATGCTTTCTGAAGAAATTAAAAAAGGGAAAGGGAAAGGCCTTATTTGCCAAGGTTGGTCAAATCTGGTTCATCGCCTGTTTGTGCAAATAAAACTTTACTAGAACACAATCTCATTTTTGTTTTCATAGTATGTTGGACTATAACAGAGTTGATTAGTTGCAATGAGTATTTCATAGTCCTACAGCCTAAAATTTACATTACCGTACCTTTCTGGAAAAGTTTTTTTTGACTACTATATCTGGATGGGTAAATGGATGTAGCTTGATCCAATAGCAAGCTGTTGACTGGAACCTAGGTTCTACACAATTTGTTTTTGAACCTGAAAAAAAACTGCATTCAGAAAGAATTGTGTGGATTTCACTAAA